AGATTAAGTTAACTTGGGAGCTAAGTATTCATAAATAATGTTTATTTGCAATTATTATTTAATATAATTTATGAAATAAAATGTATAATAATGTATAACAATTACATATAAACAGACCAAGTACATAAAAAGAGCATGTTGTCTCACCTATTACTGTTTTACATTGTTTCAATAGATAGTCTAAAAATGAATCTTAAATAAAGTTTCAAACCTATAGAGATCTTTTAAACATACTATACTTATTCTCGAGTAGTATCAATGTGAACATTAAAATAATTACAGTTTAGATAGCTTTAAAAAATATTATTTTACTTTTTCAAACAAACAATAGTAATAAATAAAAAGTATTTTAACTTCTGTAATTTGTAAAAAAAAGTTGGTAACTAATAAATTATACATATAGGTATTTAACATAATTAACTATTAAAATTAAATTTCTTTGAAAAATCTTATTATAACTACAGTATAGTAACACATATGTTAAATCTTTAATATAATTAAAATTAGTTTATAGTGGTTATTTAAAATGTAAGCACATATTATTTTATTTCAATTTCATATAATAATATCTAATTAGTATAAAAAAACTATATTAATTGAAAAATATGTCAATCAACAAGAATACTTTTAATGAAAATACATTGATGTTGTCAATAAACCACAGGTAGGTGGTAGGTACCTATTTAATATGTGGTCCACTAACAATTTGATGAAAAAAAATTGATTTTAATAGTAGCAATATTATTTAACAACAACAGATTGTAGATTATTTTAATATGAATACTTTGAATCAAAAATTAAAATAATTTTTAAGAAAAATGACAAGGTCTACTAAACAGTAAACAGTTCATTTGTATTAAAAAAGAACCATGAAAATACTAGACAAGTAGGTAATCCTTATGTATATTTGGGAGTTTATATGATAGCATAAGACAATAGTAATATAGTCCTTACCGTTTTATATAATGTGTCCCTTCAGAAATCATTGTGACAGTTTGTTTGACGCCAATGCAAAAACGAAATTCTACACCAATTTAAGCAAATAATCAACTTAAGACATTTAAACAAAATTTCAAATGTCTAAGAATATTTTTCAGTATTCATGCGCTGACAAGACATTTTGTGCCCAATCGCAATTTAATAGACAATGGAAAACTTAATGACTGCTATGCGAACAGATGAAAACACAGTGAATTCAAAATCGATTACTGTAAATACGGATTATTTACAGCTACAGATACGCCACTAAAGTCGTATTACTTTTTGTTTTAATAAGAAAAAATTATTGTTTCGAAATTAATATAATAATTAATAATAATTGTCGATCGGAATACTATCCTTCTTAATAATTAATCGCGTACGACATACGATAAGGCGTATCAGCATCGCGCGACTTATCAACATCTACGTTATCAATCACCGCCTGTGAACAAAACGAATAGGTAGCATGAATTAAAATGTATATTATTTAAAAACTTTGTGATTCATGAAGAACACTTAAGGTCACTTACAAATAATGAAATACTTATACAATATATGTTCATCTATATCTATCTATATATATATATAAGTATACATAGTGTCATAGTATAAAACAAAGTCACTTCCCGATGTTTGTGTTCTTAGATCTTTAAAACTATGCAACGGATTTTGATGCGGTTTTTTTTAATTGATAAAGTGAAGGTTTATATGTATACAACATGCATAATATAATAAAGAAACAATGATAATTTTTAATAAATTTACACTCATGTATAATTGCATAGTGTATTTTATTTTTATTTTTTATTTTTTGGCTTCCTAGCAACCTAACAATCTATTTGTTTACTATTTATGACATTTTTAAATTATAATTTATATTAAATTAATTTTTATTCTTAAATTTTGCCGGAGTAATTAATAATTAGTATTATGAGTATTTTGTATGTGTATGGGTGTGTATGTACAGTATACACAATAATTAATCGATAAAATTATTCGATTTTCAATTTAAAGTGGTTTCTGATAACAAATTGGATCTAGTTAAAACTTAAAAAAGTAGAAATGTTGATAAAATTCGTGACCAGCTCTAAAAATACAAATTATATTTCAGACAGTACAGCATAATAATCTGTTGTTTTTAAAGTTTTTAAATTAATTATGCATAATTGCATAAACATAGTTAGTAATGGAAAATGTTTTGTACAAGATAATTGATGAATATAATTTTTAATTGTGTACCTACTTTTGTTTTTTTCTAATACAAAAATAGTATTGTGTATGTTTTTGATCTTGATAGTTTCCAACTCCAAGGAACCGATCATTTTTTAAAATTAAATTTATAAAAATCAAATTATGACTTTCGATGACACAAATTTAACTTTTAAATTTTAATCTTTTAAATATTAAAAAAGGAAGTACTTCAATCATTAGATTTTTCAAATGATTTCAATACATAATAATAATAATATATTAAAGTTGACTGCAAAAAAATATTTTAATCTTAAATATACCTAAGTAGTTGAAAATTTTGCATTAAAAAAATATTAAAAAACATTAATATAATCTAAATATAACTTAATATAATTGATTATTTTATGGTATATTTATTTGTTGTGTTAATTATTATTTTAATGTAATTAATTTTTTTAATTATTCTTTAGATTAATATATTTTTTGCGTTAATTTTTATATATTATTAAAATAAAATCACTTGCATCGAAAAATAATTATCATTAGTCATTACTAAGGATCTATGAATAGACCCAGGGTCACTACATTTTAACTTAAAAACAAATAACCACAAAACTTAAATATTCACGAAATATTTAATAGTATTTGCTATTTCATTTTTATTTTTTATTTTTTTTTTTTTTATAAATGTTGGTCAATTATTTTTCACCTTGTCATAATTCTTGAAAATTGAATACTAGATTCCTTATAAATTATTCGATTACCAACTAAGAACTAACAATATTTTTTTTAAGCGTCTAATTTTAAAATTTTAACAAAATTTGTAAAATCTCAAAAATAGTTTATACTGGACTTGTACAAATTTTACTATTAGTAAATATGAGCAATAACATTTTCCAAGTATGTAAATTAATTTTAAGACATGACTTATCTATTCTATAACCTTATTCAGACTTTTACAGTAAGACAGGCGGTGTTGACTAAAAAATTAGTCACAATATATGAGTTCGGGGGATCTATAAAAAAAATGTATTTAATAGGTACATTTTTCTGTATTTTAAGGGAAGAGGGGTTGAATTTCCAAAATCACTACCCTTCTATATACGTGCATACATTTATTCATACTGTTTTATAAATTATGGTAAGGTACTAATGTAGTATTGACTCAAAAATTAATTAACAATTCTATAATATTGTAAATAAATATAAATTATTAAAATAATTAAATATTAACAATATTTATAAATGCCATATTTTTGTACAAATTAAATCATAAAATGCTTATAGAAAAATAAATTATTTTAATATCAATATCAAAAAATTTAGTATGAAATGTATTTAATGATATAAGCTGATTGACTGTTTTCGGTTGGAATCCTTTTTTGTATTCAATGATATATTGTTGAATTCAAATTTCAAACATCCATTAAAGATTACCACATTATAGATGAAAGGTTGTATTATACACTATACAGTGGTATAAAACTGTATTATACGAAGTATTAAACACATGATATAAAATGATGTTATATAATATTATCATTTATAATTGTATATGTTGTTTTCCCATTGCGTATTCATTCTATAATTATCCATAGTTGCGTAATTTTATACTTAAACGACTTTATCAAACAGTATATTCTGATATTATAGACTTTAATAATAATCATTATTCAGTAAAGTCCTCTTGCGATTTCTACTTACCTACTTCTTTTGATAGTCTGAAGTAGATTAAACTTAAAAATGGGTAGGTCATCCTCTATTGCAGTATGCTCATCGACTTAAGCATTATTAGAATGTAGTTTCTCCGGTTTCTCGATATATTATGGTATTGTTACAATCATATTGCTAGAAGAAATAGATTAACTTATGACCGAGCATTGAAACTTAAATATCTATATAAAGCACAATTTGAAAATTGAACAAGATAAATAAAATAAAAATAAATTAGACTTATTAAATACTACTGATGAGGACTCATAACTTTCCTGATGAAGTAAAAGAAGAAAAAGATGTTAATATTATGTATCCTTCAGATAATTAGATGAAGTATTTAAAGTAGAGAATTCATATTCTTCTTTCTTGGCTTTACAATTCTGTAAGAATTTTGGCCACCACCGTCACCGTCCTGAATTCTCATAGTTTATAATTATTAATAAGAAATAATACTTAAAATGTTTTGTTTTTTACAGAAAGATAAAGAATGACAAAATAAAGAATGTATAATAACAGTAACTATCTAATAATTTGTTTTTTCTTTTTTAATATATTTAAATTAACAAACATTTAAGGACTGAGGCCCAAAATAGTTCTATTTAATTGGTTTTATTATTTATACAATAAAACACGTTTTCTTTACTCTTATTTCATCACCGACAGATGGCGTTGCACGTAAGGATATTAAGAATTTTTTACCTGTACGGTGACAGCCTTTGAAACCGCGGTAGGTCGATTGCAGAATCCGCGTCTACTCTCCAGTGGTACCATTTTGGCCAACGGGACCAGATCGTCTCGCAGCTGCTACACACTACAATCAATAGTCGTCATTATATTACCGATAAGGTGGAACCCACTGACGACGTTTTCGCCAGTGACTCAGCGAATATACTTCCACTACCCGCCAGCGATGTTTTCTACGGTGGACAGTTGGTTTATTGATTTATTCTCATTGACGTCACAAAGACTCATACGATATATAGGTATTTAGGAGACTGACGCTAAAGTGAAACGTCGTTTGTTTATTGAACGCTCTTCGAGATTTTTCAACACAGGATTCGCAAAAATTGTTTTTCTTCTGTTCAAATATTGTACAAGTGCCGACATTCGATATGGAACCCAATAACACGGAATTGTTCAGACTATCTCTATGGGACGAATTGACACAATCCATATCATTTTCGAAGGACCTGTCAGTCGCTTACCACCTTTCTGTCAAGAACCAAAGATGCGATACTAACGAACTGTTGAATGCCGTAAAGAAATCAAGTAATAAATATATTTTTATCGTATACGGTTAGGTTATGTTAGGCCAGAAATTATAGTCGTTTCAAAACCAAGTACTTTTAGCCATTATCCATTAGACTTCGCGGAATCATACGACATGTTGTATTCTAATTCGTAATGGTTCGCGTACATAATAGTATTGCTAGTACAAGAGGCGATTTTTAGCACCGCCGAAATACCGGTTAGATAAAAAGATAATGAAAAAGTATAATATAAGGTGTGGGCGTAATGCGTTTGGGCGAATTTTTGAAAATTGCCATGTGTTTGGGCGATTTAGCACAATGTGTATGGCCGAGTTATTTTAAAACATTGTAATGTATTTGGGCGACTTTTTTTTCAATATATCTACTGAGATGCTGTATTTTACCAATCAATTTTCCCTCTCATTTAGACAGACTTGAGACTGTCCGTGAATTTTATGGGTATGATTAAAAATTATTTAATTATAATTCTCTATAGATTTTATATAATAATTATTGTTATCTTAATCTTTACATTTTTATCTTTTATATTGTCTTGCTTAAACACATTATAAGAAACTCGCCCAAACACATTACTTTTTTTATGCGGGTAAAAAGGTAATTCGTCCAAACGCAGATCGCCCATAAGGCGTAAGCGCCTCCAGTTTTATTTTTTTACCTGTAATGGGTATACGGAACACCGCTAATGTTCTTTAAATACGTTGACGTTTGTAGCGATGAAATACGTAGAAATTATGTCATTTATATAAGTTTAATGCATCAAATCGATTCAAAATGATTTATTTATTAATGTTTAAAAATAGTTTTATCTTCATATCTGAAAACAGAATTTCCAATAATGATACAATCAGTAAGTACTTATTTATTTCTTCATCACATAATCTTCCATCAGTGTTTTAGTGTTTAATAAAATAAGTGATGACTAATTTATATTTATTTTTATTTTACACTCAAGTTAAATTTTATTAACCAAAGGTCAAAAAAATTAAATTTTATTAACCAAAGGTCAAAAAAATTAAATTTTAATAAAATTAAATTTAGAATTCCATTAAAATTCGTTAAATCTTGAAAAAATTTTAATTAATTTGTATTTAGAATTCATAAAATTTTTTTTTACATGTAAGATTTGAAAATTTAATATGAGATTCTTCATAAATTAAATTGCAAAAAGTCAAATTAATTTTTTATTGACGTTTCAAGTTTTTATGATATTGCATGATTATTTATAATATAAATCAATTAATTTTTCTCCTAAAATAAAATATATTGATAACAAAAAATAATAATAATAAAAAAATTCTATAAATCATAACACAGTGCTTAACATGATACAAAAATATTCCTTTTAATACTTACTTTCAATACAAGAAGGTATTTTGTAGTACCTATTAAAAAATAATATATTCTGTATTTCTGTATGATAACAAGCAACAATTCGTTTAACCCGTTTAATCACTTATTATTTATATTTTAAAAACTTTATACTGTAATCCAACGGTTCCCAAACTGTGCACCGCGGTGCCCTAGGGGCACCACGAGCACTTTCTGCAGGCACCGTGGTCTACGTTTCATTGGTTCTCAATGAGTACTTTTTTTGTTTTATCTTTCATGTTATATACAGCAGAGCACCGTGACTAACTTGGTGCCCCTAAAAGGGCACCCCGGAAAAAAAAAGTTTGGGAACCGCTGCTGTAATCAATTAATATGTTTTTATTACAAAGCGCTGTCTATGATTATTTTTGGATAGTTAATTGGAGAGCAAAATCATTATCTTTTAAGAAATAAAAAATGTTCTCATTTCTCTAATTCTATTTTTACCGAAGCATATTTTTTTGCAGATAATATAAGATAAGAAACATAAATAAAATATTTTGATGGTGAAATTTACATAGAAAATATTTTTCTACAAGATAGAATTAAAAATAGTTAAACTAACTTATTACTCTTACTTTTATGAGTTATGTGCGTATTAAACATTTAACATAATATTGTAGTTGCATAAGATTAGTAGTTTGATCATACTATACGTGTGAGTGACATAGATGTGTGATTAAGCTATTGTGCCTTCTTATATATAATTATATAACTATAAATTATTAAATATTATGTATATATTATATATTTATATATTTTATCAATATTATTTTATATTATTTACATAATAAATAGATACAAAAAGTTAAATGCAATGGTAAAAATAAAATATATAATATAATATTCTATCAGACATTAGTTTTGAATGCAAAATGTAATATTTATTTATTTTTTTTGTTTTTATAGAAAAAAATAAATGAGTCTAACAATGTTTTACTTGTCTTATATTTTAAGTCCATCACTTTATTTTACATATTATTAAAATGATGCAATAATTTCAATTTAAAATATTTTCAATATATTTATTATTTTTGTGAATAATATTAACAAATAATAGTAAAAAAACTTTAATAAATAATTATATTCTACAAAAGTTTAGTTGATTATAAAGATTTATTTTGAATCCGATCTCAATTCAAACGATACACAATTTTTATAATGGTTTACAACTTTTTTGGTTTCTAAAATTTTATTTTCGGTAAGTTCATAGAAAAATTAAAAATTAATTACTGACTTTTCACATTTAAAAATTTCTATTTTAATTAATAAAAGTATAAACCAGTTTCAGTATAATCTATACTTAATTCAACTAAAATATTATCGTTCTATAAAATAATTATTTTACTTACTCGAAAGTAACAGGATTCTGCGTAACAGATGCGCAATTATCATATAATCAAATAATATAAGTAATAATTACAAAACTTATTATAAACATATTATAATAAATACTGTTATCAAATTAATAAAAATAAAGGATTCAAATAAATAAATAAGTAGGTAGTAAATTTAATACTATATTTTATTATTAAAGAACACTGCTAAATAAATAAGTTTACCTATTATTTTTATATTTTCTTGTAATAAAAATGTTATGTTTTGAAGAAATAAATAATTTCTAGTCAAACAGTGAAAATTAAATTTAAAAAATGTTTTATTTTAATTATGATATGAAATCATTAAATATAAATTTATTATAATCGGTGTAGATTAAAATATATTATACTTCTAAAACTTCCTCTTAAAGATTTTTAACTATAATTTAAATAATTAACACATTTTATTATCGTGAAAATTACGAAAAATTAAGTAGGTATTTTAAATTTTTTATAAATGTAGATAAGAATATTAAGTTACCACTATGGTGTATAGTAAATGTTGAGTTTACTCCATCGTTGAATAATAACTAATGTATGTATACAATTTGAATTCTATGATAAATCATTGCATATGAAAAGCGAATTTAGGTATTAACAGTGTGCCATATTACAGTAATTTATTTTACTATTATTAGTAATAAGTACGATAGATTAAATTAATTTTTTCGAAAATATTATTATACGTATAATTTTCTATTCAAATTTATATAATTATAAATTTAAATATAATATAATATAATATGTATTGTATTTTTAACTTATTAGTCAACACTACCAATAGTTGTGAATTAATGGTTGAAATATGTAACAGCCTAAAATTAATCTAAATATTTTGAAAACTTCATTAAGTATTTTAAAATATAATAATATATGCGTAAAGGTTTCAAGACTCTGTGAATAATATTTTTAAACGAAAAAAATAACTAAAACCATAATTTTCATTTAAATATAAAATTTCGTCCAAATTTGAACTTAAATATCTATAATAAAAAACTGTATTTAAATTTTTTTAATATTTTCAAGTTTTAGAGATAACTTGAATAGAAATTACTTAGAAATTTATAAGGGATTTTACATAAAATTTAAAGTTTTTTGACCAAGCAAATTTTTATAGAAAAAAAAATTTAATATCTATAAGCGTTTAAAAAATTATGAAAATATTTTGATTAATAGGTACATAGCATGTATGGAAAATTTTAATTAAAACATTTTAATTATTTTTGTTTTATAAGGTTATTTTGAATAGTACTGGAATTTTTTTACTTTTGATACCCTTAGTATCAAATATATACTATTTTTTTTACTAGAAACCAACATCAAAGTCTAAAATTTACTTAATAACTACATAAGTAAGTAGATATAAGTAAATTAATTTAAGTGAGCGGACTATTTTAATCTATATACCTATAATGCTATAAATATATTTTTATGGTACATTATTTTAATAAAGCAGAGTTATTTTATGAAAGTAATGAGAAAAAATTAAAATTTACTGACAAAATTGTATAAAACTAATTAAATTATGTATCTAATTTGGTAATAAACTCAAAATCGTTTAAAATTGTTTATGTTTAAATGTTTTAGCCATGCGGAGCCATGCCATTTTAGACAAAATAACAGAATGCTTCCTGATACCACCACAAGACGATGATCATAATATGTTATTAAATAACGAAACACCTATCCAATTACATTTAGGTAATTTACATAATAATTAATAATGCATATTTATTAAATACTACAAAATGGATTCAATTGCATTGATATTGTTTCCAAAATAATTAAAAATAATGTGGGTACCTCAATATTACTATTATTATTAAGAATATTTTGTTTTACATCATTATAAGATAAGTATACAAAAAAAAGTCAGTTTAAGTAAGCATTAAATACCTCATTAAGTATATTCAATTTATTAAATAGCTGATAGCAGTTTATAATATAGATTTGTGTGGTCTGGTGTCAATATTTAAACAAGATATTGAAAGTAACAATGTTATACCATGGTCCACGAGTAACTTATTTTATAATAATAACAGATAGTTTATGGTAATTATGTGTATGATCAAAAATTTACAAAATAAATGTTAAAAAGGTACATCTATAAATAACAAGGACTCAAAGCCTCCCATAAAACAGAATCTATATAATTTCCGATTACCTTAGTTCTTGCACCAAGTTTCTTTTTTCACAAAAAATTCATCCTTTTTTAAAATATTTTATAGTCTTTTTCTAGATTACTGAACATCCATATTAAGTATTAACCAATATTTATCTGAATAATAACAGTTATTAACGTCCAAACGATTTTTATAATTTTTATACCGGTATTTTGACATTCAAATACATCTAGCACTCAAAACTTAAAACAAAAATTAAAAATTTAAATAAAAAGCCCAATTTCAAATTATAAAACGAATCTACATATTCGATTAAGAAAATTGATTTATTTTCACCTTTTTTTTTTTTTTTGATTTTTATCATGTTGAAACCTTTTAATATTTTTCTGCTTATACTTAATATATTTTATAAAATATTAATTAATATAAAATACTATGATATCAATATGCTCACCTAAAACGAACATACATCACTATCATTACTCAAAATAAGTCACGCTTACGATTATAATAAACTTTTAATTTCACTTACATATTTTTTTAATTTTAATAATATTTTAATATAATTCATAACATCAATTTTTAATCATACCCGTGGAATTCACAGACAGCCCCAGATCTGTCTAAATGAGAGGGAAAATTGATTGGTAAAATACAGCATCCCAGTAGATATATTGAAAAAAAAGTCGCCCAAATACATTACAATGTTTTAAAATAACTCGGCCATACACATTGTGCTAAATCGCCCAAACACATGGCAATTTTCAAAAATTCGCTCAAACGCATTACGCCCTTGTAAACTGCGCCCAAAATACAGATAAACCCAAAATCACACGAGTAAACTGCGCCCGAGTTTTTATCAAGTGTAAAAAGGTGACATTTAAACTGCGCCCGGGTAAAATTTTAAAAATCAATAGCTATATTTTTACAAAATTAATTTATACTTATCATCACAACCATATAACATGAATAATTAAAATTAAAATTAAATTAAGAATTTAAAAAATGTATGATTTTAAAAAGTAAAATAATTAGAAATATTACAAATAATAATATATTTTTGTTGCATAATCATCAATTGGAGTTTGACCTCTATTTTATTTATTAATTAATAATTTTGCAACTTTTCATGTTTTTTTTTTTTTTTTTGTTTTGCTTTAAAATGTAACAGTTATTTCATATCGTTTAGGTATATCTAGACGAAAAAAAAATTTCTGTGATATAATTGAAAAAGTGCACTATCATAGAGATTTTAACAAGTCAAAAGTTTTGTATATTTCACAAACGAGGCACAGCTTAAGTTAACGGGCGCAGTTTACACCTTTTTAACATAGATAAATATTCATGTTCGCGACTATATGGCTTAATACTATGATACCAAGAGCCAAAATTTTAATAAATTAATTTTATATTATTTGATAACATTTATAAATGTTTACCAAAAAAAATTAAAATTCATAACAATAATAAGAACATTTTGGTTTTATACATAAGACGCAAGTCGCAAGTTAGCCACCACTAATCTATTTAAAGCAAGTATTTAATATTTATTCTAATATTTACATATTCGGTATTCATGGCGTTGTCAGTGATATAATTTTATTAATAAGTCAATAATAATTATATCTACTTCTATCGCACAACGCAAGAAGCTAAGTACAGAAATGAATTATAATAAAATTGTTCTTTCTTGTTAATCACACTCACGAAATGTAAAATTATTATCTTTATCATAATCATTATTCATTACTCATTATTAGGACTCGGAAGTTGATGCATTTTGCATTTTTTTTTTGGAACTTTTTAGACGATGCTCTCCTAGCCACAAATCTGTTTCATAAGCATGTGAATCTAAATAACTAATTTTTATTTTGCATTTTTTGGTGTTTATTACTTTTTAAGTCAATTTTTGAGATTTTTAGGTCATTTTCCCACATTTTTAGTTATTTTTACTGATTTCACACTAGTTCATTTCTTATCGTTTTTTGTTGACCATTATGCCGATAACTTAAACCACAGACATTTATAAAACAAATATTTTTAATTTTTTAATTTTCCTATTTTAAGGGAATTTTTGTCATTTTTATGTCATATTTTGAATTTTAGAGTAAAATAGAGTAAAATATTTAAAAATAATGTATTTTTATTAATATAAAACTAATAATTGTAGTTTTTTTAGGACATTTTTTGCCATTTTTATGGTCATTTTTTATTGTTTTTAAGGTCATCAACTTCCGAGCCCTACTCATTATAAAATAATTAAAAATATTTAAATATATATACTTGTATTATAAAAAAATATTTAAATAATTGATTGTAATTATTAATTAAAGATTATCGACTATTGAGTAATAATAAAACGAATTTAGAAATCAATAAATAGCGGTACAGTCCCAGTGTATTTTCAACAAAATAGTTTAAATGTAATAAGTTAATTAAAGTTACGATAATTATTATTGAATGATCATATAACACATTTTAAAATCGCTTACGTTACAATAGCACTACCGCCACTACCCATTACCCCTTGACACAGACTAGTTGTAAGTTTCATTATAATAATATCTAGATCCCTAACTCCAAATGTAATAAAATTGTTTAAATCACATACTAGAATATCTCCCTAATCGTCTAGTAAAATATGTTGATAAATTGTTAATTAAAATGTTTTAAATTTCATCTTTTGTGCGTTATAAATAACTGTCGGCAATTAGAAATAGACGGAACGACTTTAAATTTAGCACCAGCTTGCAATTATGTGTCTTCGATCAAAATATAATATGTAACTAATATGATCATTGTTATCGACAAAATACAGTTCCAAATAAATATTCTTGACAAAATAAAGCCCTCTTAATTGTTGGGAATATTTATAATATATTAATATGTAATTATACATCAGTAGAATAGTTGTGCTCGGTGATTCTAAGACAATTTCTTAATCAATGTAGACATACTTATGCGTTGAGATTAAGAGTTATTTAACAGTTTAAAATAAAAGTATTAACAGCCTGAAACTTATGGCAAAAACAGATATCAGCAAGTAGTAACATACTTGGTGAATCACCCTATTTATTATATTACCTTTATTTACACATTATTTTCCTCTTTCTATCATTTAGAATAAATTCAACGTCCCCTCTCATTACCCAAAGCATTGGTTTATTGAGAAAAACTACGTACTATACAATTTTACAATTGATGAATTTGTTTCTATTATATATTTGGTTTTTGTACATTATTTCTATGGTATTAGCTGTAATGCTTTTAAAACTTCTTATGAATGTACAAGTTATGTACATTTATCTTACCTATACATTTATCTTTAATTTAATAATAAGAAGAGTTATTATCTCTTAGAATCCATTTTAAATTAAGTTACTTGCAGTAGTTTCAAGCCTATTATCAGGATTTGTTTTGTTTTAAATGATACTTGATTTTAGTTATTTGTTAAATATCTAAATTAACATAAAATTTTTTTAAACCATACTTTTATCTTAAATCAAAATGTACATAACATTTTATTGTGTATTATTATCTATTTATAATTCATTTAAAAGGGCAAACAACTGTGTTTTATTCTTCTTAAACTAAGATTTTTTATTAACCCATATTTTTATAGGAAAAATAATTATGATCGAAAATTGACTTAGAAGTAAATACCTACTTGCTTCTATAAACACAACCGATAATCAAATTTCTTATGAATATTATTTTCTTTACTTATTTTTTTTAATTATGAAAAATGTTATAAAATCTTAATTAGATAACATGAATTGAATTTAAAAATGTAATTTTCTAATTAAAAAGACGATTTATTTTAGATTATAGTGGATAATTAGAGATAAGAAGAATGTAAAATATTATTATAAACTCTTCCATTATTTTTAATTAATTTCTAGATAACATTTTTATTAATACAAAAAATTAATTGAAATGTCATCTCAATTTATAAATGAATCGATTATTTTTAAATCGTAATAGCATAGAATTTCATTTTAATAAATATGTTTTAATTAAATTTAGTTTTATACTATATTTGTTTTAGTTATGTATTCATTTAATAACATTTTTTTTTTTAGAAGACACAGAAATACCAATTCCCTTTCAGAGGCTTTCGAAATCGCCTGATTGTCAGTTGATGATTACTCCAAATAATTACGTCATAGAAGAACCACGATATCGATCAAGATCTCCTTATCAAGTACAAATGACATCATCTGAGGTATCATCGAACATGAGAATTATGTACCAATCTGAAACAAATTATCCGTCACAAAACTCACAATTTAGAAATCTAAACAGATCTCCGTCTAATACTTATACTTCAGAACAATTTAGAAATGTAATAAGATCTCCGTCTAATACTTATACTTCAGAACAATTTAGAAATGTAATAAGATCTCCGTCTAATACTTATACTTCAGAACAGTTTAGAAATGTAATAAGATCTCCGTCTAATACTTATGCTTCAGAACAATTTAGAAATGTAACAAGATCTCCAATTAATTTTTATACTTCAACACAATCTCAACAATTAAACTGCTCTACTTCTAATTATCATAATCCAACACAGTATACACAGTCTTACACAGTAAGAAACAGATCGCCATCTAAATCTCGAGATCGTTTGGAACCTGGCTCTAGAAATAAGTATTCGTCTATGACAAAACGTCGGTCACCCTATAGAAGTCATAGTAGATCTTCGTCTAATAGACGTATTCGAACACAATATAGAAACAGAAATAGATCGCGTTCTGGATCATTTCATGAAAGAAGATATGATCCTCAAAGTTCAAATTCATTTAAAAAGAAGCATCAGTCACAATCTAGATTGAAAAAAAAGTCACGATCCAAATCATCATCTAAATCGCCAATTCCAAAAAAAAATGTAAACAAAAATCATTCGACTAAATATAAACGTCCAGTAAATGTAAAGCAACGCTCGAAAAGAGCAAGACCGTCAAACAATGACGACAATGAACAGCAATCCACAGAGGTAAATTTAGACTTCTTAAATAAAGCTTTAATTAAAATATATTTATTATACAATTAATTGTGGCCATTTTAATAACAGCTTGCATCTCCATCTAATACTTCACAATCAAAAGAGGTAAATGTACCTATACTAATTATTATTATTTTAGTACATGTTTAATTTTAACTATTCTTAAATGCTTATTAAATATATTAGTAGAAACTATTAAAAATTACTTTTAAAGGTGTTATTTCGGATCAAAATTGATATTACTTATAATGGTATTTTCAAAATATTCAGGTTAATTTTAAATGATTGTCTATTTATAATTTATATAATATCTATTACTTATTATAAAATAAATTGCTATAATAATTAATAGTAATAAATTTATATGATACCTAAGTGATAAAAATGACTAACCATCTCCACTAAGAATCGTTTTTTGTGTACAATGATTTATCATTGAATTCAAATTTAACACATCTATTGAGTTAATCTACTCAATGACGAATCACACTCGACTCCTACTATATAATAGAGCCAGTTTCACGTCATAAATGATTTTTTTTTAATATAACCAACATTTAAAAAATATTTAGAGAACGTTGTACAGGCATATATAATCCCTGTCTCACTTACATATAACATTTAAAAGTTTACGTTCAACAGTTCCAATTTTGTATTGATTTTCCCCTTTTTTAAATTCCATTTATTTATTTTTCTTAGGAACCGATGGATAATTCTAATACAATGATGCTACCACAATCACAAAATCTATATCGAGGACCAAGACCATATTTTCATCCACACAATGGTGCTACACCGATATTCTACGCACAGCCAACACTTATACCACGATTAATTCGACCACCACCACCGCCATATTATATGGCACCACGACGTCCTTTACCATATCGGCCAGCATGTAAGTCTTTAAACGTTTTCATGTATTATTTATACTTTGTACAAATCTACAGTGTAATAATAAAAATATTAAGAAATTGGTCAAAAAAATTGTGTGACGAAGAAATATAGAATAACTTAACAGTGTATATTATTCTATAGAATGTCATAATAAGTACATAATATTACTTTTCTCTAGTATTCGGATTAAAATGTTCTAAAACAAAGGTAAAATGCTTTAAAAAATTTTAAACCAACACAATAATGTCTTTCAATTAATATACATTGATATAATATGGTCTCAGTCACCCATATCCTAGTAGGTTGTTAAGACATCACTTAGCTAAAAAGAGATGGCCAATACTTGTGTAGTTGTATCCTATAGGTATACTCATACATGATAGAACTTAGAGTGTATAAAATTTTTTCAAAAATATTTTGGCATCTTGGTGTTAGTTTCTTTTTCTAATTACTAAAAATATATTTAACCTATATTTTTATTAATAATATAATATATTTATAATAGTTGTGGTATATCAATATTCCGGCATTCAAATAATTCGGCATAGTTCACCTAATTTTTATGAACTTAATCGTATCTACATATATTTTATTTTAGTTTATTTACAAGATACACAGAAATATAGTAGGTAATTGTATTATACATAGCCATTAATAAAGTAATTATAGTTTATTTGTATCTTAATTTTATAGATTGATTGTTTTATTTACAGTTTAGCTACATTATACTAACAATAAATCACTAAACTAATACTATCTATAGTTTTATCTATTACTTACTTATTAATTTTAAATAATGATGTCTTACCACCTTATTACCCATCTCTTTTATAATTTTAAAATTTTTGAAGGTATTTAACATTTTTTAAGAGATATATTTAACACAATAAACATCTATTGAATATAGAATTGTTTTTAAAAATTTTCAAATGTGAAAACACAGTTAATTATAATTTATAGTATGTTATTAATTTTACAGATCCAAGAATGTATGCACCATAGACTGGTCGACTGTAGATTATTCGAGTATTTTGATAAATAATGAAGAAGCACAATGAAACCACACACATTACGCACTTATTTAAATTATTAAGACCTTTATATTTTAATTTAAACGCTTTTAGTTAAATTAATTATAATTTTTAATTTTGATAGAATAATTCCTTGAATTTAACATTTTAAATTGATATAATACATATTATACTAGGATGATAATTTTAATCTTAAATACCATATTATTATTCATGCTGTTAAAAGTAATGTCATGTATTTTGAACATAAAACAATTCATAATCACTTTCTTTAGTTAATATTAATCTCAATTGTATACATGTGTGCAATAGTTTTATTGAGATGCGCTTATAAAAATCCATACAAAAATATTATACGCTTTTGCATAATAAATAATAATACTAAGTAATATTTAACAATAATATAACTTTAAATATAAAAAAGTATATTTAATCAAATTAAACAATTTAATAATTAATTAAAAAATAATTAAAATCTGTATATTTAAAAACTTTTAAAAAATAATAAAATAAATATATAACAACTATATAAATACTAATAAATTTCCACTTATATGTGTTATTTACCCATCACTTCATCTCCATTTTAGATCCGACTGGTCTGGATGGTTTTCCAACTGGAAAGTATTTAACTAAAGACCATCCTAAATATAATTTATTGTTAGATAGATATTATTTATTATATTGATAGGACATATATTATATTATAGGATTAAATATACATACCGAATATTCAGTAAATTTGTAAACTCTTAGTCACTAAGAGGTATATGCGTATTTTGATACCTACATGGAACATTAACAGTTAGGTAACACTGTTGTATGTTTGTAATATAAACTATTTAATAACTTCATTAGTTGTATATTATCGTTTATCAGTCTTATTAAAATTAGTCTAATGCCTGTTTCTTAACTTATTGAACATCATATATATATATATATCATAATAAAGATTTATTAATGATAAATATGAGTGTTAAGTGAACGTAATTCTAAATTCGAGTAGAGATATAAATTAGTTTTTTTTTAATGTTTATGAATAATTAGATAGTAACATCAATATTAATTATAATCATTCATAAATATCCGATAATATTATAAATATTTCAATTTATTCAATATACAAAAATTTTTTTTAAATTATTGAATTTTATAATACATATTTTATTTTAATTTAAATGTATGATAATTTTCCACAAATTTTAGTTGTGTGTATAACACGTGTGTGTCGTTTTTCGATTTTTAAATGTCCTTACCAATAAGCACCAACATTATTTCGTATTTTTATATTTACCTATATATAAACATATTTATAATAACCATTATTCTTTGAGAAAAAGGTCAATCTGTCTTAAATTATAATACAGAACGTCTTAATCAATCAATCAATAAATAAATAAATAGATAATTGATTTTTGATATTACCGATATCTATTATTATTAAAATTTTTACATTCATACAATCTACTACTTACAAAAATGACCGGTTGTTTTAGTTAATTTATTTGTTTTTATAAACAGTATCTATGCTTTTTTTTTTGTAAATAATTAAAATCCTAAAAATCATTTTATTGAAAAAAAAATTGTTTTAAATACTTGAATACGTATTTTTGCAAAAATGACAACATAAATGTTTAAATGTATTTATAACATCAAAGTCGATTACCTTTTTTTTCAGAATTTATTTTATAATTTTAAATGTTACACATCCATTTTTAACAATAATAAAAAAAAAAAAAAACTAGAAGGAAAATTAAGCTAATATTATAGTATTTTTAATGTTAATAATTAATAAATATGATCGAGCTATGTAATATTTTATAATTTATGTATATATTTTAATACCTATTAATCTGTATACCTTTACATGTATATTGTATGTATTATGTCAGTTGTTAATCATAATTAATCACTAATAAATGTACTTTTTGATTTATAATTTATGTATAAATGTTTGTATATTAATAAAATGTCTACCTTCATCAATTGCTTACAAATTACCATACAAATAGTAAAAATAATACTTCTATGACAACTGTCACGGGTAGGTAAATACTCGTAGTAATTCAATATGGTGCTTGATTATTTGGAAAGTATCGTCAAACTGATTGAATTGGAACAAAAACAGATTTTTTTTTATGTTCCTCACTCCTTAGCATGGGCGCCCATAGGTAATATTTTAGGCGGGGTCAAAATAAAAAAATTTTCGAATGTAAGATAATAAAGATTTAATGTTATTTTTCACATATAAATGTATACACTATACATGCATGTTATATTTTTATTTGTATATAGTGTATTAATATAATAATTTCCATACGAATAAATAAATAAATATATAATAATTGTCATATGAATAAATAAATTAATAAATAATAATTGCCATACGAATAAATAAATAAATAAATAATAATTTTAATAAGTATATAAAAAAATAGAAATTAAATAATATAATTAAGTATATTATTCGGTATCAGTAAATAAGAACTGTAAATTTCTTCGTTTTATTCCAAACATATTAATGACATCCTGAATGAAAGTATCCTTGTTTGCGTTAGGTTGAAATATTTGTAGTACCTATATTGTGATCTTTATAGATTTACCACAAATTAACTGCGATAAATTATTTTACGTATAGGTTATACAGACTACAGAATACAACCTATCTATGATGTTAATATACGATAACAATGAGTATATTTTTATATTTATTTCATATCTTAAAAGTGATTTCAACAAATAATTTGCCTCGGTAATAAGGTAATATTGTGGTAATATTTTTTCCAGGGGGGGGCAAGTGCCCTGTATTGCCCCCTCCCCCAATGGGCGCCCACGCTCATTACTGACTACTTTGACGCTTTACTATTGATTAATTTCCATAACTACCTTCTATACCATACCTATTAGTAGGATTCGAAAGTTGTAGGAGTTGCATAGCGCTCTATTTATAACAGACCAAATAAGAAATCCGAACTATACTTTGGTGCATTTATTTAAAAAATATTGAATATAAATCTCAACATTATTTTATTTAGGTATTTATTTTTATCGTCGCAATTAAATATTAATTTGATTTGACGACAATAACGTAGTGAATGTACATTTAGTCTGCATCGAGCTAATATATGTCAAAATATTAACTTATCATCGTCAGTAAGTTATCGACTTACTTATTATAAATATAAATCTATTTATTGTTTATTGATTAGTATATTTTTTGTACATGGTTAGTATTTTACGGTATATTTTAAAAATATATTAAAATGCTAATTAATTTTCGTCATATTTATTAAATACTAACTATAAATTTATTTTTCCATAATAATTATCCATTTGTTTTTGTGCAACAACAAAGAATACATTTTTACTCTTTTTAACTTCCTAAGCTTTACCTATAAGTAATTACTTATTACCGTTTAATGGAAACTTTTTTGGGTGATGGTCTTTTAGGCGAAGGTAATTATTTTTACCAAAAAATTAATAGTCTGTTTAGGTGAGTCAACAATGGATAAAATTTAAATATTAATTCTATTGACATTAGAAAAGTATCATTTAAAAATATATTAACTCGTAAAATTTTGCTTGTTGTCACTTATTGCAGATATTTCTATACATGGTCTTGTTATAAAATTAAATTCAGATACGGATTCTAGTATTCATTCGCGGAGTGCGATTAACTATGAATACATAATATATAATATGTACGTAATTACGACTGCAGTTTATTTTAAGTGCTTTATAATAGATATTGATATTTTTTATAATATCATAATACATTCAAATTACTTATGCTTATATTTTTAAAATAATGTTTCGACGGTCTTGGGTAGATTTAACTATTCATCGCTTAATTAATACACATAAACAATGTTTTTTATTAATATAGATAAAATTATGCATACCTATTAATTTGCTTATTGTAATTTGACCTTTGATAACTATAGCTTAATATGTAATTGACAACATTAAAACAAAGCTGTACGCTTTAATATTATTGTTGTCTAATGTACCTAGTCTATATTGTGATCTAGTGTAGGTATATTGTCTACTTTTAAATCATGTTTTACAAATATTAAATATTTATTAGTATTTATTTTAAATATATTTAATTTTATAAAAAAAAGTAAATAAATTTACCTATTAGTGGTATTAACAATTAAAATTTATAGATATTTGATTTGTGTTTATCTTATTTGTTTTTAATGCACTATAAAAAAATCACCTTTATTTTCGTATTACATTTTTAATATACCTATTTTTTTTCAAGAATAGGGTGTTTGTATTTATGAATTGCATAGGACTTCGCAAATCATAGCTCTATCGCCGTAGTTGATCACAAAGTTTCTCGTATGAGAAAAGCTCTAAATAATAAATAATCTAAATGCATTATGGTCAGCATTTATACATTGCTAGTGAATATATAGTATTAACGACATATCACACGTGATAAATCTGTATTTTTCAATTTTTATTATAATAATGACAATAACTATAGTCAAATAGAATCGTTTAAAATAAAAATTCACAATGTTTTTTTTAATTTTCCATTTTGCAAGCATATTATGCTAGTCAAGAGAAAATTTTTGTAGTAGTGTCTTTTACGTCAAATTACATTGCTAAGTAAATATAACAATATACTCGTATTATTATATTAATATCAATACGTAAAGCATAGCATTTTTTTAAAAATAATATACCAAATAATTCGTTATAAATAGGCAAATAAAGTATGGATACAGATCTAAATCTACATATCATATACTTAAACCGTGTATTCGTGTCTATAATTTTATATATACAATATACATACTTACATTAATTAATTCATTTTCGCCTAATGTTTTTCCTGATTTTTTTTTCGCAGCTCTTATGGGTCATACTGTCATAGCACGATATTAAATAGCCTATAACTTTCTTCAAGAATTGGGCAATAAAATGCAAATATAATTTTGCAAATCCAACTAGCAGTTC